AATGAGGATAAATCCTGACTGCAGGAGTGAGCAAGGATATGTAGGTTCCCACAATGACTCTCTCCATGATTATTTTTACCAAAAACACTTGAATTTTTCTTTTCAGATTTAAAACTAGCCCTATTTTGTACACCTTCTCTATCACTGAAAGGTAATAATATCACTTACATTTTATTTTTTTTCCTCCAAATCGGTAAAGTAGCGAGCAATAAAAGAAGTGTGATTGCAACTCCTATGAGTGCAACTTTAACAGGCCGACTGATAGAATTGGCAGGATCTGAAAAACACAAACCAGAAGCATATTGTCTATGACTACACCTCATTTCTAGACAGTGTACTGACATTTTGGTATCAATGCTCCTTTAGTTTGCCATTGTTGCCATTCAATTTGATATAAGATTATTTGCCATATTCCATTTTATAAAATAATATGCTAATGTACATTCAAACTAACAACAGATAATATTTGATATTTCTTACCACTCTCAAAAATAAGAAAAAGGATACCACCACAAAATATTCATCACAATGTAATGATTAAACAAAACATATCATAGTCAAAACTAGAATCTCCAAAGGGCCTGTAATATAGCACCCCATCATTTAAAAAGCATCTGTAAATGAAGTTCAAGAGATGATTAAGAATTTCAGTGGACTTGAAAATGCTCTAGGCTGTAAGTTAAGGCTCAATTTAAAAGCATATGGCATGTTGAAAGAGCAGAGATGACACTAAGCTTAATTGTTTGAAACTCTGTAACAACCCAGAGAAATTTTTATGCCTAGAATAACTTACCTGTATCTCTTAGTAACTCACTAGGGTGTTCAAGTGGGATACTTCATGGTAAGTCAACAAAATTTCAGGCTTCTACAAGAAGCCTTGGCTCTTTACGGTGCAAGAGCCAGCTTCGTCATAGTTCCCCAGTTTAAGTAAAAAGGAAAGAGTACATTATACTTTGACACTAAAAAAATGGTTACGATTCTTTTGTCTTTGGAGTTTCAACCACAAGATTCAATGTATATTGTCCTAAGTCAAACTGGACAGTTGTAGAGGAGGTCAAAAGGAAGCATGCATCTCTTTGCATATTAAATATGCAATTAATTGGGAGTGGTAATGTTGAAAATTTGACATTTTTTTCTGAAAGTAGGAATTGATTAAAGTCCCCTGGCATTGAAAATGGGGAAAGTCTTCAAACTCAGTCAAGTTCCATGACTGGATGTTGTGCTAGCCTGATCTTAATAATATTCAATGATATTCTAAGTTTAATCTAGTATTCTTGTATTAAGTTCAACCTTAAAACCACCCTAATTTTATAGAAAATATTTGAAGCTATAAGTGTGATGAGGATGAGAAGTTATGCTTTCTCCAACTTCTGGAGAATGGGCTGAAAGCACATTAATCTCTAAGTATAACAAGAGCTCTGTTGTTAATGAGCTGTTAGAATTAAGGTGAAAGATAGTCACAATAAAATGGATAAGAGAAAGTTTCAACTCTAGCAATGATCCAGGATATTTAGGGCCAGTTCTCTTCCCAAGCTCACACACACACTATTAGACAAATCATTGTTTAAAAAAAAAAAATCTGAATGCTCTCAAAAAAATGCAAGGGCCAAGATCGAGTAAGAGCGAGAAGCCAAGACAAGAAAGCCAGGCATTTGCGTATAGGGCTCCCCCTGGTGGCACACCAGGTTAAAGCACAGCACTATGAAGCTATCTGCAGCTATTGCAGCACCTAGTTCCATCCCAGCCAGGGAGGTGACCCACATGCCGTGGCAGACCTCGCCTGACTTCTCCCTTAGGCAGTGTATTTCAGTCAATCTGCCTGTTCTGTTCCCCACTGTCTCTGGTGAATTCTCTCACCCTCCCCCACCTCCTCCCTCACCTCTGGCTTATACCCCAGTTCTTGTATGAATAAAAAAAAAAAAATAAATGCCAATCATTACAGTGAAAGTACTGAGAAGTTGAGCATGTGCTGAAATACTGAGGAGTTGAACATGAATTACATGTTTAAATAGATGAATTTTCTGTGAATTATATTTGAATAAAACTATGATCAAAGGTGTAGCATGCAGTTGAAGATAATTATACCGCCCCAATCATTTTTGGTGCCAGATTTAAAAAATAATAGACAATAGGAAGTAATCCACCAAAGAGCCAGATATTAGAATTCTCAGACAAAGAATTTTAAATACATCCAATTTAATTATTTCACACATTAAATACACTTGAAATTTGTGTGCCAGAAAGAGGCAAGAGAATAGAATACAAACAATATTTGAAGAAACAATAGCCAAAAATTTTTTGAAAATAATGAAGGTCTTAAATCAAGAATTTTGAGGAAAACAAACAGGATACACACAAGAAAGTGAAACCATAGTACATAACAATAAAACATGAAAAACAAATACAATGAGAAATCTGAAAAGCAAATGAAGAGAGAAAGTGTACATTTCTTTCAAATGAGCAGTAATAAAACTGAGCTATCTTTCCAGAAAAAGTAATGAAAGTAATAAATCAATAGAAAAACATTGTCAAAGTGATGAATCATGACTACAAAATTGTAATCATGAATCTAGCAAATACAGTGTTAAAAATCAAAACATTAATGACCAAAATAAAATAAAGTGGCTATCTTTATACCTTCACTAAGAGGGGGGAAATTCTTAATAACAACTCTTTAGGCAGAAGAAAAACAAAAGCTAAACACGGACAAAGAATATTAAAAATTAATATTCTAATTTAAACAAAGAATATTAAAAATTAATATTCTAAATTTAAATTTTAACATTAAAAATTTTAAGAATATTACAAAAGTTTAACAGTAAGGAGTATTACTATAAATAACAAGACTGACAGCAGTAATAATATATCTTTGTATTAAATATAATAAGGATTCATATTACACAAAACAGGAATAGCACAAATAAGAATTGATAACCCCATTGCATTATCCAGGAAGATGTGAAGGTACTAAATTATATTAAACTTTAATAAGTCAAAGATGTATGTTGGAATTTTCAATTTAGCCAATAAAGAAGGAAATCTGAAAGTATAGTTTGACTATAGAGAAGAACTGATATGAACATAAGTGATTATCCACAAGAAGTCAGGAAGAATAAGGGACATAAACAGCTCACATCATTGAAAACAAGACCAAAACCTAAGTGAATCAGTATTCATACTAAAGAGTTTACTAAACTCTATTTATACTAAACATAGAGACTATAAATGCTCTGGTTTTTAGAAATTACTGGATAGGACAACTATTTTCACTTTAAAAGAAAAATCATACCCTGTTCAAAAACTGTGGTTTTAAAACGGAAAACATTTTTGGAAGCACTTGGGAGGAAGGTGAAAGGGGGAAGCAAGCAGCTAGGACAGGAGAAGACACAGCAAAAACAGGCTTGTAGGGCTGGGAAAGTTAAAGGGAAGCAGATGAACAACTCTTTTGGGAGAAAAAGAAATTTGCCGGGAGAAGGGATCATTGAAAGAGCTATAATTGAGCTTACTTTTCATTAACTGTTGCAAAAATTCAGTAGAAAACACAAAGCGAAAGTCAAATGAAAATGAGCCATCTAAAAGCAGTTATACAGGCTAGAAGCAGGGCGGGGGAGGGGACATTTGCGTGTCGCATCGAGTTCTTTCCACCATGTGGGCATTTGACGATGATTTACATTTTCAGAAATACAGGACTGTACTTCTGGTTGTGGGTTTTGAAGGTAAATATTTTCCCTTGCTGATTATCATCCTACTTACATTCTTGATTCAATGACAGAGTGACAACCTTCTCCTCGTGCTTCAGAGGATGATCCATTTTCACAATCAGGCTTTGGACTCTCAGGGACTTGGCCTTCTCCACAGAGATGAGGTACTCTCTCCTGACAGTCACGATGCCATTTGGGTTACTATCACGGTTTTCCTCTGACAGATTCATCGGGACATTTGCAGGGAAAAGGGATATCCGAGGAGCAGGTTTACCCACTGCTGAATAAGTAAACCGAACAAAATCTGCAGAGTCAAGGTTGGGCTGGAGTTCAATTTTTAATTCAGGTACAGCTGAAGCAAAAAAAAGAAAAAAAGAAATTAAATATAAAAATATACCACATTTTTTTCTATGGCATTAAACATGGATTTCCCAACCTCTTTCTGTGGTACTAAACCTCTCCTCACATTTTGCCAAACAATTCCCTCACCTATAACATCTGTCCTCCAGACTGAGAGGAATGGTTGCTATCTCCACTTTCACTCAATTTTAAAATTGGATTATATACACACACAATACTTTATAGCCACATGTTGGGAAACATTGCGACTTTATCACTCGTCCTTAAATGTTTTGTTATTTGAATATTGAGAAGTTCTGCTTCCGTTACAGCCTTCTTGTTCTCTACTCTCCTTTTCTTTTCCTCTTTTTTTTTTTTTTTTAAAGATTTATTTATTTGTGCATACAGAACTGGGGTATATGCCAGAGGCTCAGGGGTGGCGAGAGGATTCACCAGAGACAGAGTGGGGAGCAGAACAGGCAGATCAACAAAGCACACTGCTGAGGGGAGCAGCGGGCGGGTCAGGAGAGGTCTGCCACGCCATGTGGTCACCTCCGGAGCAGGCGGGAATCGAACTCATATAGAGGCAGCTTTTAGATTCTCAGTGCTGTGCTTTAACCCGCTGCGCCAATAGGGAGGGACTTCCTCTCTTTTTTTTAACAGACAACCCAGACACCACTCATGCATCTTACGCCCTGGATTAATGCCAGTGCTGGGCAGTGCAAACAAGTTAGATGCACTGGGGCTGTGTGCTATTGCTGGCCCTGCACCTTCTGAAAATGGGCAGGTCACATAACCATAATTGCTCATCACTGCTTTCTTTTTTTTTCCTGTATAATAAGACCTTAATATTCTTATTCTGTGCTTTAACCATAAAAGATTATATTCCCATGATTTTGAATCTCTACAAAACATTAATATACTGAAAATGTGAAGACAGATTTTTCCTCCAAGGCTGCGATGTGGGAACACGTTAAACAGACACTTGTAGCAGGCTTCATCTTCAAACGTCACTTGGCGGAGAGTTATGAACGAGGAATTGGGTTCAATGGCATTGCAGTGCAGTCGATCCACATAAGGTAGAGAAATTGTTTCTCCATTTTTACTGCTATATGTGCCAATATTTTGTGATGAAGAGTTTTGGATCTTCTGCCAAGTAATTTGTATAACTTCTTCTGAAGATGTCAAATTGCAGAAAATTGTCACATTCCCTCCTACTACAGCAGTCTCATTAATTTTGTGCTTTATCCATTGTGCAGGATCTGAAAATGAGACCCAGTATGAATTAAAAGAAATGTACTTTCAAACTCCCCTGGACTTAATCCTGTCATAACACTTAACTCTGTGGATTACAATTATCATTTTACTTAGATTTCTTCTTCACAAGAAAATAAACTGACTTTCTTCACCATTGATAACTCATTTTTAGAAGTGATTCTGGAATATTTCTACTAATCAACAAATATTTATTGAATGTAAAATTGAAACATAAATTAACCAACATAAGATGATCAGTGGTAATATCCATGAATTGCTGGAGATTGAGTTTGAACTAGCTTGACATTGACAAATTCCTGAGAACTCCAGTTTGATGGAAGACCAAAATTGTGTGTTTCACCAGCAGAAAGACTACTAGTCTCATGCTGAAGACCCAAGAAAAATCACCTCATCTCTTTGATAAAGAGAAAAGAAAGTAACCATGTAGAAGTAAGCCCAGTGAATTTTCCATTAAAAGACTTCTCCACAGAACAAAACACTTTATCAGAAATTTAACCCTTATAGGTAGAACAATGGTGACCCAGCTCTACTCTCATTCCTGTTAGCTTTCTTTCATTCATTTGGTAGAGTAGTAACCGAGTGCTATAACCAACAATAGCTCAAACTTGTTAAGACAAATCAACACTTCGTCTCATCTTTATCTTTTCTTCCCAAAAAACCCCCCAATTTTCACCCCATCTCAAGGCACATTTTAGATTTTTATCTGAAACGGTGTGACCCAAACTAAGACTATTTAATTCCAAATAAATACTTGATTGTCTCTCATCTTGACTTTATTTTTAGGTAAAAAATGCAAATCCAGAAAGAAAACAACAAATTTAATAAGATAAAAAGGAATAACTTCTTAATGAACAAACGAACTTCAAAACAAATCTCTGTTTACTAATTCGCTGTTTCAAATATGCTCCAATTATAACTGTTGATAGATGCATAGGACATAGAGAGCTATGTGATTAACACAAGATCCAAAACTAATGCTCTATTCACCTAACTTTATAAAATTACACCACCATCTGCTACTTATTTGCCATTTAATCCACAGTTTAGTGCATTTCAGAGAAAAAGTGGTTACCTGATCCTTTCACCCAGCTGGGAAGGATGAGAAACTGCATAATGAGATGAAATTTGAAGGCTAAATCCTCATACTTCATATTTGTTAGAACTCAGCTCTAACACGGAAATAACAAAAGGACCACCTGCTTCCTCTAAGTGGTTACCTATTAACGCATTCAGTTCATCTTGCACACCACTTTTTTTTTTTTATTACTTCCTTCTTTGACTAGTATGTAACCATAGAACCATAGCACATAATTTTACTAAGTGTTTTAGGTAAAGAAATATACTTTTCCTAAACTATCTGCTTGCTATTCTGTAGCTGTGACATGAGCCAGGCACAAGCTAAGAAAACTGACAAGCTGACTCACAAGAAAATTTAATTAGCTCTTCTTCTGTGAGTGTTAGAGCTGTGGCTTATGACTAAGAGGGCAAGTAGAATTAGTGCTGCTGGGAGTGTTGTTTTCACCACCAACACCTCTTATGACTTTTATCTTGCACATATAACATTTATTTACTATGAGTGAGAGTAAGTGAAAGATTTCTATACATAAATTTAAGCTAACTTTCTAAAAGAAAACATTCTTTTGGCATCTAAGATCCACAATTCACATTGAAGGAGAAAATGAAAGAGATAATCTTCCTGCAAAATTATTAAAAGTTATAGATTAAATACTACTTCTGTATTGTGGTAGAAGTAAAAGCCAAATTCCTTTCATGTTCTTGTAAGTTTCTTTACCTACAACTACTCTAAATGGAATGAAACCACACCTTGCCTGGTGCTGTTGGTTTAAATTTCAGACCATTCATTTTCTTGTGAAATTTTATGCACAGTTTCTAATCAGCTTCCCTACAATATTTTCCTCCTGCTGAGATTATGGAAAAGCGGGGCTCATTCACCACCTGTTCACAGCAACTGAAGCATGAACTGTCCACATGAAATTCGGACTTTATCCTCTTGCACTTTTGTTATTGCTTCCTTAATAATCAGTATCCTCTGTGTTGAATATTCGGTCTTAAACATTAGTAGTAGTGATACACACATTAGTAGTACTTACCTGGTGATTATTTCACAGAAATGATCACAAATAAATGTTAAATTCCCAAAAGATAAGGTCAAGGACAACTGAGACTAACACTGGGTGAAGTAATGACTTTTTAGGTACAGCATTAAAAGCATGAATCACAGGGCCCTCCATGGTGGCGCAGCAGTTAAAGCCAGGCACTGAGAAGCTAAACCCACTTGGGCATGAGTTCGATCCCCACCCTGGAGGTGATCCACATGGTGAGGCAGACCTCTCCTGGCCAGCTCGCTGCTCCCCTCAGCAGTGTGCTTCGTTGATCTGCCTGCTCTGCTCCCCCCTCTGTCTCTGGTGAATCCTCTCACTGCCCCTGCACCCCAGCTCTGTACGCATGAATAAATAAATCTTTAAAAAAAAAAAAAGCATGAATCACAGAAATCTCTGGTAATTTGAACTTTGTTAATGCAGGAAATATTTCCCCCTGTCTGTATCTTCACTTGTTATCTTAGGACATTGCTTTCACCAAGCATGTATAGGGCAACTCCAGGATAAATCATATGTTAGACCAGAACACCAGTTAAAGGGTGGAAATCATAAAAAGTATGTTCTCTGACAATAGTGAAATATAATTAAAATCAGTAAAAGAAGAAATTTTGGGAAATGCATAAACATGAAAATTAAACAACATATATCTGAGTAACTAATGAGTCCTGAAGAAATCCCAAGGGAAGTTAGGAAATAATTTGAGGTCAACAAAACAAAATACAACATACTTAAAATTTATGGGATGACGTGAAACTGGTACTAAGAGGTAAACTGTATGTGTAGTTATGTACATTATAAAAGAAGGATCTATTTGCAAGTGATGTGAATTTATTTATAGAAACCAAAAAAAAAAAAAATCCACAAAAACCTAGTAGAGCTAATTAAGGAGGTCACCAAAGTTATAAGATAATGATCAATGTAAGAAATCAGTTGTATTTTTATGTGATAGCAATGAATTATAAAAATGAAATTTAAGAAACCAATTCCATTATGATAGCATCAAAAATAAGTTCCTGGGCCCTCCCTGGTGGCGCAGCGGGTTAAAGCACTGCACTGAGAAACTAAAGCCACTTCTGCATGAGTTCGAACCCCGCCTGCCCCGGAGGTCACCACATGGCGCTGCAGACCTCTCCTGACCCGCCCGCTGCTCCCCTCAGCAGTGTACTTCCTCGATCTGCCTGTTCTGCTTCCAGCTCTGTCTCTGGTGAATGCTCTCACCCTCCGCATCTCTGGCCTGTACCCTGAATAAATAAATAAATCTTAAAAAAAAAAAAAAAGTTCCTAGGAACAAGTTCAAGATTGCTACAATGAAGAAAACCATAAAATGTTGCTGGAAGAAATTAAAGACGTAAGAAAACAAAGACATCTCTCATTTAAGATTCTAAAATAATTAGGATAGTAATAAATAGGATAATAGTTAGGATAATATTCCCCAATTTGATTTGCAATGTCTGTAACAATTACTACTGGTATTTTTACAGGAATAGGAAAGCTGATCATAAGATTCATAAGGCGTTTCCAGGGATGTAGAAAACCGAAACACTCTTGGGAAAAGAGCACAATTGGGTCTCTCACATTTCCTGATGTAAAACTACAGTAATCAAGGATAGACAAAGTTCAGTGGGAAAGGATTGAGAGTCAAGAAAGAAAGTCAGCAAATCCATGGTGAATTCACACAACAAGGATCCCAAGACAGCTATATGGGAAGGGGTAGTTTTTTTCTGCAAAGAATTCTGGAATAACTGAATATCCACATGCAAGGAATGAATTTGGGTCCCTATCTCACACTCTCTACTAAAAATTAACTCAGATATATATAAAAAAAATAACTCAGGTATAGTCAAATATGAGAACTAAAACTTCAATACTGTCAAGAAGACAACAGCAAGTCTGTGTGATGCAGCAGTTTCTTAGATCGGACACCAAAAGCATTAGTATCCGGAAAAAATAATCTGGAGTTTATCAAAATTAAAACAGTTTTTTATTTCTTTGCCAGTTTTTTTTATTGTAATTCCATTACATACACACATATATTTTCTATTGACTCAGTATATATCCGAGGCACCAAAGCTTTAAAGAATTTCTGGAGGTTTCTATTCACTAGAGAAGCCCTTTTCGTTTTCAGGTCCTTGATGATTGAAATGTTATTTAGCTGGGCAGGGGCAATGATGCTGGGGAACACCATCGAGACCGTACTGTCTCAGCCAATCAAACCAGAGGTAATGAACCCATAGCCAATAGGTGCAGATCAGGGGCGGGACCTGGAGTAAGTAACCGCCGGTTTGGTTGCAGTTGATTGTGAAGCCTCTGTGTTGAGAATAGCCAACCTCCACATCTTTTTACATGCCGCGCAATAATCCTCCTGAGGCTCTGGATGGTAAGTCCTCCACTAGTGTCCCCTTTGAGAAGTTCCCTCTTCCTTGCTGACACTTTCTCATCCTCTGGAGAGCAATGAAAGTGCCTGTGGTATCCCAGCCACAGTTCCAGGTAGCCATTCCCTTTTCAAGGTTTCACCTTCCCTCGCAGCCACCACGAACCCAAAGATCAATCGACCTCTCAATGTGAATTTCAGCTCCTTGGCCCCTGTCTTGTCCATTGCCTTCCCCATGTCAGCTTTCCAAACGATCCCCCTGGCCCTTGCTTGTTTCCTTTGCTTTAGTGAGAAACGACCCGAAACCATACTGATGCCTTGAATCTCTTCAGGTGTATGGAGTTGGTCTGAGGAGAAGAACGTGCTTAATCTGAGTGAAGAAACATTCCAACTGAAAGACCTTCCGTGTTTGTGAGTAAGACCACAGCTGTGTTGCATGATAACTAAGTTTATGGAGAAGACAATCCACTCCTAGATGTTTATTCTCACCGGTACTACTTTACTGGTGTCTCTTAAAACATGAAACTGGGGAATTTAGTAGGATTGTAAATACTATCAAAGTTTTTAGATAAACAATTTAAAAAATGAGAAAAATGCTGGTGTAACATGCTTTTACACAACATGCTGTGTAAACTACTTTTAGTTTGGAAAACTAGAAGTTTCCTAACTATATTAAATTTTGAAAGAAGTAAGTGAATGTAAGATTCATAACTATGATGCAGAAACACTTTTCTCTGGGCAAGCATGTGTGCCCCAAGATGCTTACTTAGTCTTGGAGTAATAGTGGGCTAGTTAATAGGTGACAATGACAGTCTTTACCAAAATAGTTTGGTATTGACTAAGATAAAAGATCACTAGTCTATCATGATGTGTTTTTCCAATGGCATGGACTTCTAGAGCAGTGCTTATAAATTATGGTTGCTCAGTAAAATCACAGGGCAACTTTTTAAAATTTCACTACTCAGGCTATATTTCAGGCCAACTCTGTTCCCCACTGAGGGTAAGCCCCCCACTCCCACCACACACAGAAGCATTTGAATTTTTTAAAATGCACTAAGTGATTCCGGTGTGTAGGCAGGATTGAGAATCTCTGTCTTGCTGAACTTGCCACCACTTACATTACTAGCAAAATCCCCCAGTCTACCTCCAGACCTTGCTAAGACCACAGCTGTGTTTATGATAGCTGAATTTATGGAGAAGACAATCCACCCCCAGTTGTTTATTCTCACCGGTACTAGTTTACTCATGTCTTTAAAAACATGAGTCTGAGTTAAAGAATTTAGGAAAAACAAAATAAAGTGAATGACTAATAAACCAGCTCTGATATCAGAAAACCAGAGTGACATTCAGAACTTGGTCTTGCTCACAATTAGCCCATGTTGTTCTGTTGACATGAACACATTAACAGAACATCAACATCAGTTGCAGTCACTCTAAGACTATGATAAGATGAGACTTACACAAGCCCTAGAGTAAGCTCATACAATTCCAAAAATTCCAAACATCCCCTTTCTTTTTCTTTTTATGCATACAGAACTGGAGTACAGGCCAGAGGTGAAGGGGCAGTGAGAGGATTCACCAGAAACAGAGTGGGGAGCAAAACAGGCAGATTGACAAAGTACACTGCTGAGGGGAGTAGTGGTCCAGACAGGAGAGGCGCCCTGTGGGTCACCTTCTGGCCAGGATCAAACTCGTGCTGAAGTGGCTGCGCTAGTTTCCTAGTGCCTGCTTTAACCTGTTGTGCCACCAGGGAGGGCCTGAATATCCCCACTGTTGATGGGTTCTACTTCTGAACCCATTAAGTTTTAGCTTCATTCTTTTCTGTCCTCCCTAAAGATGAGATTTATTGAGTTACCCAGTCACAAATATGATCTTACTTTCTAACAGCATCCAAACTAGTTAATCTTTACTTCCTTGGACACTCTCCAGCATTATTCAGCTCATATTCTTATATTTAAAAATACCAAAGATTCCCCAGTGTGGATGTTCTCCTTCATTACAACAAATCATAAATTAAATTTGTCAACATTAGATGAGTGTCTGTTGGTCTTCTCCTAAAGAACATTGATACCCTTCCTTTCAAAACCTGACTCAAGAATAGTGGAAAAGAGCTAATTTTTGAAACTAATAAATGAGCAGTGTTGCCTTTAAATTGGTGAACTGCTCACATTGGCTACACGATAAAATTGCCTGGGAGCCCAAGTTATACCCTGCACTGATGGAAGTGGAAGTAAGACCCAGACCACCCATATCATTATCACTCCATAGCTGAAACCTAATAAATAGGACATGAGAAATTACACATTAGGGAGCTCTTACATCAGTACTAATAGGACACACCTTGGTAAATGTTGTTTACAAGGCTTTTTCAGACTGGTGATACAAGGCCAAATGGAAAGAACATAAAGTATAATTATATAAGAATGAGCTCAAACATGTAAGTAAAACTTGTAAGAGTAACTAGATGACATGATTCTGGACCATTTTCTGTTTTTGTAATGTTTGTTGAATTATTTCAAAAATATTCACAGTAATCATGCATTCATTTAACTTTGCTTAGAGATTATATGAAACTGACTCAAGAAACTGCTAATTGATGAGAGAAAGTTGAGTGATAAATGATCGCTCAACAAGGCAGCCAAATAAGATGCCAATAGCAGACTCTAGAAATTGTGAGGCAGCTAGTATGAGAGGGAAAATTGGAAGAATTCCCTGCATCACATTTTAGATTCCTGATGTAACACCACCCTTACTGTAGGAAGAGGTAGGATTGATAGCATGCAGATATCACCTATTTCTTTCAAACCAACAAGTCACAATGAGATAAAACATGTGACAACTCACCTGCTTTAAATCTTTTGGTTTCAATAATTTTCTAACATTCCTAGTTGCTTTATGATATAAAAAAGTTAGAAAGATTTGGCCTGTCAGCATTCCAAATGAGATGAGTTAGTGTTGTCACGGTCTGTTAACCTGTCAGAAGAGAACGACAGAAAAAATCCAAATATTCTACTCATCTTACTCCACTTTGGACACTTCCAGGATATATTTTCTTTCAGAGGCTCAGATAATCCGAAGCCAGTTTGGTTGTTCATCCCCAGACCGAACTAATCTCTACCAGTTTGTGGTATCAGTGAGTAATTAAATTTTAATAGTCGTCCTGTCAGACACTTGGTTAGGTGCAGCATGAATGATAACTAAATAGTTGTCAGCATTATAAGTGAGCACAGGACTACACTGCACTGGCTAGTTTGTCCCTTGGGATTATACCTTCTCTACCTCATTTAATTTGAAAGCATCATAGAAAGGGGAGGCATCCCAAATTTTGGTCAACCCAAAGATATCACTAGTAATATCATAACAGAAGGGAAATATGGGCTATTTTGTTTTCTTTTGCTTTGTTTAGAAAATACTGGAAGACCACTACAAAGGCAAACCTTACATTCTATTGATCCCATGTGACTTTTGCGAAATCCTAAGGGTTAGCTTCAATTGGATTGTGATAAACCACAAGATGGAGTTGCAACAAAAGTTCAGCTTTCTCAGAAAAGGACTGAGTAGATCATGGGTGAAGTTTTTCAGGGTTTTGTTCATGAAAACTTCTGAGGACCTCCCTGAAATCATTCTAATATTGTCTTTGATCTGTGCAATTGGAGGTAGGTATAACTTTCTTTGAGTTTATTCTATGAATGTATTGAACATGGGCCATCCTTTAGAATAAAAGAAGATAGCATAGCAGTAGTAAAAAATGGGAATTGTGTTCTAAATTCATAATTCCATCCTTAGATTTCAATCAAATGAAAACAAAAAATAATCTGATCCTCAAAAGAGATTTGTAGAATCGGATCTTTACCTCAGTTGGGATTAAAGTATTCACAACTTTTTACTTACCAATCATGTGATTAAAGGATTGGGAGAATTGAAGCAGATAATCAAGATTTGGAGACTTTATTGTTATCTGTGTTATAAGTTACGGTTTCAATCATATTCTGAAGTTACCTCTCCCACTGCTTTCTCCACTTAGATGAACAATGTTCACAGTGATAGTTCCTCTGAATGGGTCATTACTTTTTAAACATTTAGTAGTGTGTGATAATTTATGCCAGCTCTCAAGATATGAAAATAACATTGTAGACATCAAAAGAAAGAACCTTTTTTTTTTTTAAAGATTTATTTATTTGTGCATACAGAACTGGGGTACAGGCCAGAGGCTCAGGGGCGGTGAGAGGATTCAGCAGAGACAGAGTGGGGAGCAGAACAGGCAGATCTACGAAGTACACTGCTGAGGGTAGCAATGGGTGGGTCAGGAGAGGTTTGCCACACCATGTGGTCACCTCCGGGGCAGACAGGAATCGAATTCATGCGGAATCGGCTTTAGCTGCGCCACCAGGGAGGGCCAAGAAAGAACCCTTTTTTGGGTATCATTTAACTTCATTTGGAATTATTTTATAAAGAAGTGGGAATCATTAAACTGTAGAAAGAGGTGTGATGTTGCTGGTTGCACTTTGAAAATAATGGTGAACAAAGTTAAATATTCATTATAGTGTATCTTCATGTAAACTATCAACAATAGCTTTTCTCATTGGGAAAATTATTATAACTAGTTTCTCAGTATTATCTTGGGAATCAGTCAACTTCATTAAAGTTCAGTTGTCTATTTTAGGAGCACTAAAGAAACCACTATCTGATTTATTGCATGTAGAAAAACTATTGTAAATATTTTAGTAGTAACAAGAGCCAATGATGCTAGCAATATTTACTAACAATTCTAAGGAAATGAGATACTTCATAGAAGCAGCAAAACAGAAATCTAGTGGACTCATAATTATCTGATTCTGAATACTTAAGCTTGAAGGAGGGTTTCACTTGCAGGAATACCGGAAGAAACAGTATTTTATTGTTACACACACTAAGAAATCATATTACATTAAATTTTTACAAGTGTGATTATCTTCCTGCCTTTCAGTAAACACATTTTTTACAGCATTTTTGAACCTACACTTGAAAGACTTTCTGATTCCTCTCCCTGTGATCTTATTTTTAATTGGATGCAGTTTTGAAATGCTAAGTTTTACATCTGATCAGGTATGTATAGTATATATGAGTATTTTGTAATCTATGATTCATAATAATACAAAGATGGCTTAGAAAAATTTATAAAATTATTCTTCTCTTAACTGCTCACCCTATTACAGGAAGCATGTTCATGTAAGAGCCAGAAGCAAGTTACTGCTTTGTCCTGAACAGGTTTTATAACTATGTGATATTGACATAAATGCAATTTAAATACTTCTATAAGCAACATTATCAGTTAATTCTTTAAGTGAAGAAAGCACTGGGCAAATGCTCTGAAGAAGTTAATTTTATTCTACTTTCAAGCTTACATGTTAGTATGTCACAGTTTCATGGTCCTGGCAAAAGACATGGGACTCCTGGCCAGACAGAGAACTTTGGTACTCACAGAAATAGTAGTAGCAGAATACCAGCATTTTCTTGGGCCTGTTCCATGAGCCCCAGTCCCCATAAGGAGAAGATGACCAGGGAAAATGTGCACACACACAGCGGGTCGGCAGTAGGAGAAGAAATCAAAACTTAGGGAATATTTTATGATAGACAGATAGACTCATCTTCCCTGTTGCCCCAGAGGAAAACTTTATTGCAGTGGACAGTATAAAATACCTAGTTCTTTGCTCCTCCAGAGCAAAGTTTATTACACAATTTATTATAGAGGAAAACTTTATTACAATGGGCAACACCTCGTCTTTGCTCCTCCAGACACTTGCTTTACCTTCCAAATTTAATGGCCATCAAAATAATCTTGAAGAGATAGTCTGGAAGAAAAGCAGTTAAGAGTTTCCATTCATGAGACATGGAAAAATTCCAAGAGACCCATGGAGAATGATCTTCCAAATGCAAATATATTTCCTAATATAGTAGAAACTCAGTATTTCCTCCATTAATGAATAATAAAATGTTTACTAAATTATTTGTGACAAATACCTCTATCAGTTATTTGATGATCTCTGTTAATTTCCCAGACCTTTTCCCTGTTGTTCTTTTGCATACATCTTCTATAGAAGGCTTGGCTAATTATTTGTAACTTCTGAAATTTAAGATGATTGTTTACTCCTTCGTGGATTTTGTAGATAACAATCCATCTACATGAAATCCTTTTCTTCCTCTTGTATTCCTAAAAGTCTCCTACATATCTTGGGAGGTGTGGGAGATAAATACCCAATGGTATGGATTCAGGGAGCAACTTTACTGCAGCTACTTTTGCAAGCAAAAGAATGAAATTTCAACAAAGTTAGTACATTTTTACATTGTGGTATCTTTTCTATTTTGCTAGAGATAGATGAGCCTGGCATATAATTCTATGCTAACAGAAATATGAATAAATGAAAATATGACATATTTTTATATTATTAGGTACAAAGGTATGCAAATGCCATACAATCAATGAGCCCGGACTTATTTTTTGATATATTTACACCAATAATAATCTTTAATGTTGCATTTGACATGGATATATACATGCTCCAGAAATTATTCTGGCAGGTAAGAGAAATATTCTTTTTCAATAATATCATTCACTCACAATCTGCTATGTGTTTAAGGTTTTGCTGGGGTTTTTTTTGTTTTGTTTTTTTTGTTTGTTTGTTTGTTTTGGTTTCAATCTTGTTCCAAACTAGGTAACAAGACAGGATTTCCTACAACTGATATTCTTAAGCCCTAGGAGTCTCATTGCAATCTTTGTCCCTCATTTCCAGGGGTGGCAAATAAAATAACAATAAAATTAATTAAGCTTTAAATTTCCCCATTCATGGATAGAGTATGGTTTTTCCTCGCCAGTAATCCAGATTATTTGCTTTAAAATGGAATATAAAGGCAATCTGATTTTTCTATCTGTAAAATTTATTTGCAGTTACTATTAATTTCAATTCCTGGCTTTTTGATGAATTATCTATTCATTCTTTGGTACCTGTCATCTGTGGATAAATTACTCTTGCACACCACCCCACGGTTATTATTTTCAACTATCCTCCTAAGTTCTGATCCCATGATGACTGCAGCTGCTATAAGAGACCTTGGTTGGTATATTTTTTCTATTTTCCTATATTTAAAATATCATTTTCTATATTTAGCTTGTCTAGTTTTAAGATCTTTTGTTGATTATAGCTTTTCACTATGGGAAGTAGAGGGGATTTAGCATGGAGATAAAAGTGAGAATGCTAATTTAAAAAAAAAAAAAGGCCAGTGATGTGTTTACTTTATACTCTTTTCCGTCTTCTATCCACATGTAAGAATAGTCAGGGAGTTATATGGAATCAATGACTTCATATATACTTCCACCTTGGGCCAACAGAACAGTTCTGAAGGGATTGCAATACTACATATACATTGGGGTCACATTTATATTGACTAACATTTCTTTTCCTTTGAAAACACTCATTAGGATAGTGTCATTTGTAAAAAAATTTTTTTAAAAAATGCCTTTGGAGTGATGCCACCATTAGGACCACAGCCTTTTTACTTTTCAGCTAAAACATTAAAATCACTAATCATTCAGTATTTTCAGAGTGTACTATTTTAGGAGAAAGTAATCTATATTTAAAAAAAAATACATACTAACCTAACATAATGCAGTCACTTTTTACTAATGAGAACCAGAATATTTATTTTAAAGTGGAGTTGTAATATAGCACACCCATGTTTTAGCTCACCTTCTCTAGGGAGACACAGCATGTGTAAATATATGACTCAAGAAAGGCCTTCAAAGCAAAGGAATTGAGAGATACAACTTGAAACAATGAAAGCGCCAACATCTATCACCAGCCTCAACTATGGTTGTCAGTCCCCCTTTTGCTGAACTTTTTTCTGCTTCCTGAGAACCTTCCATACTTCTCTTAACTTTTGGATCTTGCATCTAGTTAGTATTTAGCTGATTTTCTAGACTGCCATTGGTGAATTTAAAACATTACTGGAGGTTCATTTATAAGGTTATTCCCATAAATTGGGGCCAGTCTTCCATTGCTTTTAGACTTTTTTCCTCTTCATTTTGAATCACTTAAAGTATTTTTGTCTTGGTAATATCTGAGTTCTCAAAGATTTTTATATTTTTATTTATCCTCAAAAAATATCTGAGGGGTGTAGGGAGGAGTCTGGTAGAGGGAGACAGTTTGAGATTGACCAGCACTGAACTTCAGTGGTGGGCATGTGCTGTAGTACAGGCCGAGGTGTGAAGCTTCACTCCTGAAACTTACATGTACTGTCACCCAATGACAAATTGACTTAAAAAGAATCTGACCTGACCTATGAGTTCTCGACTTTGTGTGTATTAATCTTGAGCTTTTTATGATTGTGGACTCCTTGTAGACCCCTATCTATGACTTACTTCCAAATAGTCACATGTTGTATATCATCCCATTTTATAAAGTGAGAATAATTGTACACAATATCAGTTAGGTTTTTATAAGTAATAATAGCTCTGAAACATTGTGGTATAAAGCAGTTATTTCTCATAAACCTAGCAGTTCTGATGATAGTGATTCAGCTTTGTTGAACTTGAGTAGACTCTTGTAATGAATCTTCAATCACTCAGAGGGTCGTCTGGATACCCTCAACTGGGAGGATGTTTCTTTAGTCCACATATTTATTTCTCACCTTCCCTTCACTTGGGTGACCAGAGAATGCTGCCATGATGTTGGCAGGGGGCAAGGAGAGAAGCCAGAAATCTTTTTCAAACTTCTGCTTGCATGAGGTCACTTTGATGAAAGTGCAAAGTCCTACGAAAAAGAACAAGATACAGGCTAAAGCTAAGTATTGACCTTTAGGACCATTGAGCACCTATAGGAAGTCTGTGACTTTCCTTCTCTAACTGTACTTAGGTTGGGATCACAACTGTTGTGGTCACAGCTATACAGTGTTCGGGTCACAAGAAAGGCTTTTACCTTATAATAGCATTTCCTTCCTATGAACATTATAAAATGATTACACATGTTCCTAGTTATAGTTTTACCAGTCCAGGCACATTTAATAGCAGGGAATAACAACAGTTGATAGGTATCTAAGTTTTTTAAAGATTTATTTATGCATACAAGAACTGGGGTATAGGTCAGAGCTCCAGAGGGGTGAGAGGATTCACTAGAGACAGAGTGGGGAGCAGAACAGGCAGATCTACTGAATACACTGCCAAGGGGAGCAGTAGGAGAAACAGGAGAGAGCCCTCTCTGGAAATCGAACTCTTACAGTGACTGTGCATAGCTTCCTAGTGCTGTGCTTTAACCTCTTGAGCCACCAGGGAGGCCCTGAATATAATAACTTAAATAACTACAATAAATGGAGGATTAAGATGGAAGAAGATAATATCTGGTGCTGACTATCCATGGAACGTAATTTCTAAAACCATTACAAGGAAAGTTTGGGAGAGTCAGACACCTTAACATTAAAGTGAGACTGATTGGACACTTGCCTTAACAGATGCCATGTTTTAAAGCCTTGATTTATGAATTTACTTTATCTCCCCATCAACTTGATGATGCCTTATCATAAATGCATCTGACTTTTGATTTTTTTATAAGCCAGATTACTGAATTTAATAAATAATGAATTTTATGTTTCCATCTGCTTTGAAATGACAAATAGGGAGTTCTCATGGATGATCTCATCTATAAAAGCCATAATTGATCACTGCTAATTGTTACCCAAATTATGATAGTTTCAATTTTTCTTTTAACTAATATATATAATCAAACTTCCTTGAAGAGAGTTTTCAAACATGATTGAAGTTTTATTTAAATATGTAAGGGAAGGTATGTGATATAAATCCATAGCTAACAATACCCCCTACTTGCTAATAAAATAATATTCTTTAATATTGTTTGTCTTACCTTAAAAAAATCTTTTGCCTTCTATAGGTCTTTCTAGAAGTCTTGTTGATCTAATTAGTGGAGAATGTTTGATAACCTCTGTATTGTCTTTAGTTTTATATACCAGTATTGTGGAAATCACCAACACCCTAAACATTCATGTGAACAATTCCATAGGTAAGGACCTATTTTGTACTTAATTTCATAAAACTGGAATTGTCTGTGTTCTGAAAGCTGATATGGGGGTTGTACTGTTTTACCACAAGTTATGCTTGTACAAACCCTAATAATATTAAAAGAGTGACTTGCCCTTTTGAAAAGGAGAAATAGATTTTAATACATAGAGTGTTTGTTGACTGAATTTATTAGGTCAGAAAAAGACTCAATGCAAATACACGATGACACACACAGCTCTTGTTTAATATTATTTATTGTTTTGTGGTGACCCTGGGTTGGAACTTCTCACGAAGAGCAACTTTCCATGGACTTCCATTGAACTCAAATGCTTGACAGCTAGAATGAGAATTGCTGCTTTTCATGTGTTGGGAACAAACACAAAAGGAAAACCAGGTAATGCCTCCACCTGTGGTGAGAGGAGTGGTGTTCCTTCTGAAAGCCCTTCCCATCTCAGAGTTCTTGGGCTAGCTCCCTGCAGGCGACAGCATGACTGTCCTGCCCCTCCTTAGGGCCTGTGGGCAGTGTTTGTAAGCAGATGACAAGGAACTACATTCAAATAGCTTGAACCTTTTTTTTCCTTCATTGTGTATGCATGTGTATAAAATCAGTACTATATGCACAATAGCCAGGGTAGTTATAAAGTATGCAGGTGGCTAATTATCTCCAAGGACAACAACTCACATATTACTAGTAACCCAGAAGAATCTTATGGGCGCCTCCTGGTCAAACCCATATATTGTTTGAGAATAATGTTTACATATATTACTCCATTCACAGGGTGTCTTGTATTCTAAGGTCTTCTGCAGCATGCTATTGTTCTATCTGCCATCCCCCTGAAAAGAAAAGGGGAGGGGGTAGTTTTAGAGGAAGAGCACAGTGCACTTTTTTCTTTACTGTTAGAATTTTTCACATTCTTGATAACTTAAAATTTTTCTCTTAAGATGCTTGATACACTTTAGTGGTATTTCACTTGTGTTTTATTTATATCAATTGACATCATTCTAAATCAATCTTCATAGGAACTTATTTTTTGTAACTTAATGTAGTTATTTAAACAATGTTGCTTAACCTTTGAAGTTAACACTATTTCATAATAAGGGAAAACAAAGAAGACTCACTCCACTGAGTTCTTATGTTTTTCAACTTGGGAACTAGGAGGTTAAGGACATCGTAAGAAATAATGTATTTGCTTTGAGGTTTGTCCTGAGCTAATAAATCCACTTGACAACGTCTTTATTAATTAAAAGCTATTTTCCTTTTTTAAAGAAGAAAACATCCTGCAGACTGATCTTTGTAGCCCCAGTTCCCTGCGTCTTCCTGAAACCCAAGTCCATTTCCATCCATCTGTTTCAGTTATTGGAGGTGTCAAACTGCCAGACATGCCACCATGACCAGCTCAGTGCCTAAACCAGATATGTCCTAGAGCTTCATTTACAAAATTCCTCCTACGTTAGACGGTTATGAAGGACTGTCAATCTCAGCTCCATTAGTGTTCTCCCCACCACTAGATATTTATGGACAAGGATTCTTTCTCCTACTGTTTTCCACCCTGACCTCAGTTCCAGGGTTTTCTGCCCCGAACTGAGCTTTATTTTCACGGTGGTGGCTATTGCTGCTTTTTTTTTTGCGGGTCTTTGTGTGGGCTTTGATTTCAGTCCTCCCTGACTTCAGGCCCCACTTTCTTCTGGGATTCAAATTTTACTCCTTATTTTCTCCCCCTTGAAAGGATTTCTCAAGTTTTGTGTGCCCGATTCTAGCAACTGAGGCTGTCCAGGGTTTATTTAGACTCCCTGTTCCCTGGGAGGGCAACTGCATGACCACCAGAAGCACTGCAGCAAAATATAGCCAAAAGGGCAGTGAAGGGGCAGCAGTCCATCGTGTAGTAATTCTTCTTCTGGATCACACACTGCAGCGTTGTTTATCATGGAAATGAACTGGGAACAAGTGAGATGCCTAGAAATAAAAGGCTAGTCATTCTGATGATCAAGACATTACAGGAGATTCATATACCTGTTTCCTCTGTGCACTGATAGGTCTAGGACAGCAGTTCCCTTAGTTTAAAGGCCTTCCACTTCTTGTATCATTACTGTAGCTCCAAATTTATTACACTGGTTGGCAATGGAAAAAACTCCTAAACTAAACTGATTGAATTTTACAAGTTTGTGTGATTTTCAGAACTTGTAAAGAAATTCCTTCAATTTAGGAAGAAGGAAATATCATAAATGTCCTCTAAAGGCAGTAAGCTATCTGTAAAGATAATGACAAGGGGGTAAAAGTGACCCAGAATATCAATTAAATAAGGGCAAATATGTTCTTAATTATTTTTCTTTTCTTTCTTGCAGCCTATCAAGTCATGGAGAGTGCTTGGTCAAATTTTATAGCAAGTACATTATTTGGAATGATAGGTTCAAATCTGATACAATGGTGGATGGCTACAGTTTTTGTTGATGATGTCTATCATATAAATCTCACCTCTGCAGCTCTGTACCTTATCTATTATATTAGTAAGTGAGGGGTCTACCCCTGAAATCAAATGTCGTAGAAGTTTCCAAAATAAAACTATGGGACAAGACAAAAGTTAGTTAAAAAAAAAATGTAATCTAGAAGGAATACTGAATACTTTTTCTGAGAAGTATTCCCTCATCAAAACATATAAAAATACTCATCTTGCACAACAAAAATAAATACCAATATGTATATCAATGCCACTACAAAAGACAAAAGTATTTATCAAAACCATTATTAGAATGAGACAAATTATCATGACTTTCCCAGAGAATTTTATAACCAATTGTGAAAAAAAGTAAGTGCAGCTATTATAAAATTTAAAGGCTTATTTCATAAGATACATAAAGAATTCTGTATCCAAAGCAGAATGCATATTCTTGTAATATCCGTGTAGATCATTTCAAGAAATGACTAGAAGAGTATCATTTTAAAAATAATTTATTTTACTTTAATACATTTATTTTTTACATATCTTCATTTTGTGCATTTTTCATCTCAGTTGTAGTCCCTGTGGACATCCCACCACCAGTTCACCCTGTGCCATCACCATAGACCTGTGTGCTCTTCCCAACCCTCTTTTGATCCTACCCCTTTCTTCACCCCTGTAAAATCCCTGATTTATAGTTGTTCATTGTTTTTCATTTTTACTTTATTACAATTGCTTTTATCACCCTCCTGATCCCTTAAACTCCTGCTATGAGTGAAACCATTCGGTATTTTTCTTTTTCTTTCTGGCTTATTTCACTAAGCATCATCCCTTCCAGCTCCATCCATGTTACTGCAAAAGGCATGAGCTTTATCTTTTTTGATTGCGGAGTAATATTACATTGTTTATATATACCATATCTTCTTAATCCAGTCATCTATTTTTGGGCATTTGGGTTGGTTCCACAATTTCCTTGTTGTAAATAGAGCAGCAATAAACATAGGGATGCAGGTGTTTTGAATCAGCATTTTTGTGTCTTTGGGGTAAATACCTAGGAGTGGGATCGCTGGGTCATATGGAAGCTCCATGTTTAGCAGTTTGAGAAACCTCCAAACAGCTTTCCGTAGTGATTGGACCAGTTTGCAGTCCCACCAGCCCTGTAGGATAGTTCATTTTTCTTCGCATCCTCACCAACATTTGTTGTTGCTAGTTGTTTTAAGATGTGCCATTCTCATTGGTGTGAGATGGTATCTCTTGGTTTTAATTTGCATTTCCCTTATTACAAGTGATGCTGAAGATATTTTCATATGCCTGTTGGCCTTCTGCATTTCCCTTTTGGAGAAGTGTCTCTAGCTCTTCTGCCCATTTCTTGATGGGGTTGTTCACTTTAGTTTTGTTGAGTTTCATCAGCTCTTTGTATCTTTGTGATCAGATCTTTGTCATTAGTATTGTTTGCCAAGATTTTCTCCCAATCAGTAGGGTGTCACTTTGTTTGGTGTAGTGTTGCTTTTGCTATACAGAAGCTCTTTAACTTGATGTAGTCCCAGCTGTTTATCCTTTCCTTCACTATCCTTGCTTTAGGTGAAGTATCTTTAAAGATGTTACTGAGGTCTATGTCATGTAGTGTTATGCCAACATTTTCTTCTAGATATTTTATGATTTCAGGTCTTATGTCTAGTTCTTTAATCCATTTTGAGTTTTTTTTTTTTTTTTTTTGTGCATGGTGTGAGGTAGTAATCTAGCTTCATTTTTTTTTTTTTTTGCATGTAGCAGCTCAGTTTTCCTAGCACCCATTTGTTGAACAAACTTTCTTTGTTCTATTGCATATACTGTGCTCCTTTGTCAAAGATTAGCTGTGCATAAAACTGTGGGTTTATACCTCGGTTTTCTATTAGAATCCATTGGTCTGTATGTCTATTCTTATTCCAGTACCATGCAGTTTTGATTACTATGGCTTTGAAGTCTAGGAATTTGAAATGTCTGTCTCTTTCGTTTTAGTCAGGAGAGTTTTGGCTATTGAGGTTTTTGTGGTTCCATATAAATCTCATCAATATTTGTTCTATTTCTTTGAAGAATGTCATTGAGACATTCTGTATATCACTTTTGGATGTTAATTCTCCCAATCCATGAGCAGGGGATGTCTTTCCATTTCTTTGTAGCTTATTGTATTTCTTTTAACAGCATTTTATAAATTTATTTGTATAGGTCTTTTACCTCTTTTGTTACGTTTACTCCCAACAATTTGATATTTTTGTTTCAAGTGTAAAAAGGGATAGTTTTTTTGATTTCCACTTCTGCCCAGAATATTTCAATAAAATTCCAAGTATTGTTCAATTGCAATGCTATTGAATGCTAATTTGAAAAGAATGGTCTTAAAAATTATTATTTGAGGCCCTCCCTGGTGGCGCAGCGGGTTAAAGCACTGCACTAAGAAGCTGAAAACACTTCCGCATGAGTTCGATTCCCGCCTGCCCCGGAAGGTGACCACATGGCGTGGCAGACCTCTCCTGACCCGCCCGCTGCTCCCCTAAGCAGTGTACTTCATTGATCTGCCTGTTCTGCACCCCATTCTGTCTCTGGTGAAGTCTTTCGCCACCCCTGAGTCTCTGACCTGTACCCCAGTTCTGTATGCACAAATAAATAAATATTAAAAAAAAAACTTTAAAAAAAATTATTATTTGAAGTGCCTGAAATTAAATTTTCTGGGTTACTCTTCAGTTACATCAGAAATCAATATTCAAGTTACAGACCGAGTGAGACTAAATATTAGAAAAATTATTAATGTCATTAATCCACTTACCGTCACTCCTCAGAGAAGTGTGACTGAAACTGATTATTAGCCATATCACTGCTTCAGAATCAGCTACAGCTTCAGAATCAAGTTCAACTCAGCTGTGAAGTCAGCCAAATAAATGATTTTGTCACTATTATATACAGTGACACCTAGTTTCCCATGTATGTCTTTCCACTACATTTTGGAATAAAAATATCTTTTTATATTCATGATTTAAATTAATGCAATAAAGGGGGAAAATGATGCCATACGTTTTAGATGATATAGGCAGCCCAAGTGATTTACTTAGTAAACTAAAGCATCAGGACTCTTGAATAGTTTGCCATAAGATAAACATACATGGATACACACTTGGTTAGTAGAACTCTTAGGACCTAGCAGTAACTACTTAGAGAATATAATAAAAAATTGATTCTCTTTATATTGGCAAAAAGCTATAAAATATTAAGAAATTTAACACTTTGGATCTAAACAGAAAACTAAAAACGTCTGCTGCAAAATGTAAAATTGAGTCAGTTGAGACAGAGAAAGACTTAATAGAAATTCTAGAGCAAAATTATTAGTATTTTTAAGATAGTAATTATAAATATTTTCCAGATTTCACCATTACCTGACATGGTCCTTAGTAGTCAAGTACTTGATGTCTTTCAAGCGCCTTTGTCCGTGGTTTATTCTTCTTTAATTACCCAAAATGACTAAAATGTTTGTTTCTAGTTTAAAAATCATTTGCAGCCAGGACTAAAGTAAAATATAAGTCTTATAGTTTTCCATTGCTGAAAGGGAAGACCCAACAGTTTGATAATAATATTATTATTATCTAACTTCATCAAATTGAAATGTGTCACTATATGACTCAATGATAACAAAAATTTAATTTGGTTTAGGGATTTCATAAAACAGTTAAAAATGTTCTATTCAGAAGACCAGACAGGAAGGAGGTGAGGGGGAAGAAAAGGGAAATGAGTGACAGTAAATTGTGGTATTACCTGTTGAAACCAACAGTTTCTTCTGTATAAAGTCACAGTACTATCAAGATATGTGATATTTTTATCTCTGATAAAATGTTTGCCACTATTGATGTCAAATTAGCACTTTGTTTCTTTTTTAAAATAGGTGAACTAGTTGGTATGTCTGGAATATTTACCCTGGCGATCATGGGACTCCTTTTAAATTCTACAAGTCTTAAACCAGGAGTTGAAGCAATTCTTCTTGAGTGAGTGGCTGGCATATTTTTACTTGGTTTCATATTCAATACATTAGAAATAATACTACTGTAATTATAACTGTATATCTGTATGGCCTAAGTAAGGTACTACCTGAAAACTATTGCCTGTGCCTTCTAATCCTTGTAATTTTTTTTTAAAGATTTATTTATTTACATATTCAGAACTTCAGTACTGCCAGAGGTGCAAGGGTGGCAAGAGACAGAGTGGGGAGCAGAATAGATTGATGACGGACTCTGCTGAGGGGAGCAGTGGCGAGTCAGGAGAGGTCTGCCATGGCATGTGGGTCACCTCCCTGGCCGGGGAATTGAATTTGTGATGCAGTGGTTGTGGCCAGCTTCATAGGTGCTGCACTTTAACCCTTTGACCACCAGGGAGGGCCCTAATTGTCTTATTTTAGCAAAATTTTATGACCTCAACTTGAGTTCATGTTGACACTCAAGCAGGTAGGACACTTATCACAGACCAAAATTTAATAGCATAGCCAAAAAATAACAGTAATCAAGATAAATATCTTAACATATATTTTCTTTAAAAATCAAAATAAATTGAAAAACCCATGATGAAAAATATTTTTAAGGATGAGATAAATATCACTGATAGTTCTTTTAGAAATATGCTTCAGTTTATTTCCGCATAGTACTACTACTAGAATGGGAGACAAATATTTTACAAACAATGAAAACATGGCATGCAAAATAAATGAAACAATGAATCTAGGGCATTTGATGAAGTTTGATAGTGCCATTAAAGGTAAGACAGTCAAGTGTAAGTGAGATATAGTCACTAAACATACGCAAACTGTCTCAGTTTAAGGGCACCCAACTGAAAGTTTAGTGGAATATAAGGGTGTTTCCTGTAATGCTCCTATACACAGGTGGGAACCTGACCTAAACCACACAGTGGCAACATATGCATTAACACACATAATATTATCAATGGTTTTAAAGTTAGAATAGATTCATAAGCCAGAAGCTCAGAAGTGTTGGTCTTATAAAATTTTGGAGCACCTCATTGAAATACCATGTCAATTGCAATACAGTCAATTGTACTAGCAGCCAAGTAGAATTAATTAGATCAAAGTCACAGGAAGAATTAAGAACATTGTAAAATTGTTTAATTGTATCCAAGGGAAGTGATTCTGAAGCTCCTTTCACCTTTTTGCTCCAACTGAAGGCAGTATCTCTCCTGAAGACATCACTGTCCTTGTATTCCGTAAAAGTCATGATTTCTTTCATCTTCTTCCCTGGTACTCTGAACTTAGAGTGGAGGTAGGTGACCTCCCTGTAACTCAAATTTTTATTCTTTCTCATTCAATAGGGGAACCCAATTTCAAAGCTATGTCATCAAATTATACCATCTGTATTGACTCTAAAGTCACTTTGTCAACACCTTTCAATTTATAAAGATTTCGGCTCCTTTCTTACAGTGACTCTCCCCATCATTGCCATGTCACCATTCTTAGTGATGTCAAGCAATAGTTGATTCTTCTGTTCCCTCCCCTTTCAGTTCCTGGACCTTCTTTCCTCTAAGAACAACAGCTCTACCACCATACTTCAGCAGCCACCTATTCACCTGGTCATAGAAAGAACCACTTCATAATCTTGATTTCAAGAAATTTACTATCTAAAATATGCTATATACCAGCTGCTGCTCACCAAGACAACAGAAATCTAAGACAATAGTAGTGGCAAATCCACTACCTCCTGCAACAATCTACAGTAGATTCACACTGTTTCCTGAAGAGAAGTTGCACTATCCACCTCAGTTCCTTTAGCTCCCGAATTCCAACATTTCTGTGAGCACACTGAAGTGCAATGCATCCTTGATGATTTTTCACAGGTCCTCATCTTCCTCACTTTGCTTTCAGCCAGGACACTTCTTTTGTTTAAAACCATCTAATCAATTCTCATTTTGTTTGGCTACAAGTCAGCAAACAAAACTGTTAGATGCCCCCTTTGTTACATCTGTGATTCATTGCTAAATCCCCTACCTCTGTGTGCTCTAGCCACACAGATGGCTTTACTGGTCTACAGGTATGCCTCAAGCACACCGTCTATTTGGGCTTTGTGCCCTTGTGTTTCTTTTTTAAATTTCTTCTATTTTGTTTACATCAGCTATAGTCCCCATAGAATTGCCACCACAATGCACCCGTGCACCATCACCCCAGCCCCTTGTGTTCTTCCACCCTCATTTTGTATCCACATCTTCCCCTCCCCTGCAGAATGTCTCTGATTTATAGTTGTCTGATTGTTTTTGTTTAGTTTTGCTGTATTTTTTTTTGTTTTTCCCTTATTTGATTTCCCTTGTATCCCTCCTATAAGTGAAGCCACCCAGCATTTTCCTTTTTTTTCTGACTTACTTCACTGAGTATGATCCCTTATAGCACCATCCATGTTGTGGTGAATGGCATGAGTTGATCTTTTTTGATTGCTAAGTAGTATTCCATTGTGTCTATATACCACATCTTCTTGATCCAGTCATCTGTTTTTGGGCATTTGGATCATTTCCAAGTCCTATCTACTATAAATAATGCTCCAATAAATGTAGGAGTGCAGGGATCCTTTTGAATTAATGTTTTTGTGTCCTCTGAGTCAATCCCTAGGAGTGAAATTGCTGGGTCAAATGGCAGCTCCATTTTTAGTAGTCTGAGAAATTTCCACTCTGCTTTCCATAGTGGTTAGACTAGTTTGCACACCCACCGGCAGAGTAGGAGGAGAGTTCCTTTTTTACCACATCCTTGCCAACATATGTTGTTGGTTTTTTTAATATGTTGTGTCCTCATGTTTCTATTCTTGAAATGTGCTTATTCAATATATTTGTGCTATTCCTCTGTATAATAGAATGGCTAGTCCTGGAGAAGGAGCAAAATTATCTTGAAAGGGTTCCAAGAACAGAGTTTGGCAGTATATGAGCAAAATCAAACTACCCTGCTGTCATAAAATGCTACTTATATGTCTTTTAAATCTTTACAATTTATTTTGTTATAAATGTAATATGTCGACATTAAACACATGAAATAGAATAACAAGAAGTAAGTTTTAAGTAACTTGCTATGGTTCAAACACCCAAATCTGATCAATATTGGTATTTGAGTACTCTTTCTCAAGCTGCTTTGCCTGAAGCTCATGAGAACATAAGCTTGAGATTAATGAGAGTTTTCCTGAGTTCTGAAGCATTTGAAAAAAGAAGGTACTCACAAATCCCAAGTGAAAAATCAATAAAAGGCATTAATGTGAGCAAAAGATTAATTCACATAGTTTAAGTGCTAACTAGATTTTAAGCCAATGTTTAATTATGGCACTATGTAGATCAAACTAGCAGTTCAGTATCTTTTTTTAAAAAATAAAAGATTTTAACCCTTTACAATGATACACAGAAAACATAGTCTACTCTCAGCTCTGTCAGCCCTGATGCCTGTTGAGTTCTGTCAAGTAGGATAGCCACAACCTATACATCTCTTTCAAAGTCTCCTCAAAAAGAAAGACATTGATTTACTTGAATATAAACTGATTTAAATTGCTTTAGAATTATTAACTTACTTTATTGCTTTCTCTTCAATTAAATTATAAGGTTGCTCACAGTTGGTAAATGTATCTTTATTTTCTTGATATAATCCTTAGCACAATGCAAAGATAAACTTTTCAGTATGTTAAATTAATTATAATTAACTATATATTTTTTCTGAAAATGCAGGCTCTGGAATTGTCTATCATTTGTTGCTTTTCTAATGGTGTTCACTTTCATTGGACTTCTAATTCCTGCAAATACATACCTATATATATCATTTTCTGACATATATTATTCATTAAACATCTATTTCACACTGACTGTTTTAAGGTAAGACTGATTTTCAAACTGTTGGATTTGTAGGAAATTAAGTAAACCTGACATTTTTTATAAACAATAAAAATGTTTCTTATATATAAAAAATGTTTCTTATATTTGAATGAAAAGTTTACTCTTAACACCTTCCAAGAAATAATCAGCAAATTCATGTTTAGTAATTTTTATTTTAAACTATTTCAAAGCAACACAAGCAAGTAAATTATTTTTTGAAATTATGAAGAAAATAGGTCATAATCACTAACAAAGAAGCCACTGCTAATATCTATATACACTTGTCCAGTGTTTATTTCTTAAGACATTTTATGAGGTAAGCAAACCATAAATAAAAAATTTTATTTTGTTTTGCTTAATATTTTGCAAGTAATTTCCTATTAACTAAATTATAGCTGGAACTAGATTTTTTTAGTCATAAGGAAATGACTAATAATGTCTTTTTTAAAATGATTTTTATAATCCCCTTTTTTCCAATGTTAAAGAAAGAAACTACCCAAGTAACTAAAAATGAGATAACAAAGGATAAACACTATAACTGGAGTTTCACAGTTCTTTAATTTCTATCACTCAAATTACTAATATTCTACTTCCACTAAGAAAATTAGTTGGGAGTTAACATCAAGTCACTTGATGCCAAATATGTGGAAATTACTTGGTATGGTTAGTGTAAGACATGGAAACAAAGTGTGACTGAAGAAAGAAATAGAAATAAACGATATTGGAGACTCAGCAAGACCATAACCAATGGGGGGTTGGGGGAAAGAAATATTTCTCTTCTTACTCATTCAGTTTGCTTTTATTTCATTTCTCCTTGGGATTCAGAATAGAGCTAGAAAACTTCTCTAGCCATGTTCATTTGGGAGTTTTGTGGGGTTTTTTGTACACTGAAGATGCACCATTGAATGATGTTTTGGATTACTCACCTACTCTACTACTCACCTAGCAGAAGGAACAAAGAATAATGTCCTCTGGTTGTTTCTTTCTGTAGAATATTCTACCCTCCTTGGTGCCATGACGAAGTCTGTGTGAAAGATGGTTCAATTGTCTTCAAGTTGGCGATTCCACAGGGAATTAATAGGTATAACGTATGAAATAGAAAGGAAAATCACTGACAGAAATAATTTAATTTCTTTTTGTCTTTTAGACTCCTGGTTTTCTTACTAATGAGTCCTCTCTTGTCTCGACTTGGTCATGGCTTCAGCTGGCGCTGGGCTTTCATCATGGTCTGGAGTGAAATGAAAGGGATACCTAATATAAACATGGCCCTTCTGTTTGCCTACTCTGACGTTTCTTTTGGATCTGAGAGAGAAAAATCTCAAGTAAAGGAAACTATATTTTTGAAATATTTTACAAAACTGTTGCCATACTAAGATAAGTTTTTGTAATGAGGTAGGTCAACCCTACTTGGGCTTTGGGAGAGACTCAGCTATGACAAGTTTGGGGAGAAAGAAAAACTCACAACTTTCCTCTTTCCTGTTCTAGCTTAAGAGTCCTTAAAATTCCTTCACATTCCAAACAATAGGTCTGTCATAAATATTAAAGCTTTAAAATCATTTAAAAAATATCTGATACAAAGTATGAAGTCAACAAATGTTTTTTAGTTTTCTTGATTCCTAGAATAACTATAACATTTTAGGTAAGAGAACAAAATTAGAAGATTTATATTAGTTAATATCAAGACATCAGAAAGATATGGAATTTAAGCTGATTAGCTTGGCATAAAAATACATGCATAAATAAAGTAATCCAGAAAGGACTCTCATACAGTCAGTTTTGTTTTACCAAATATACCAGCGCAGTTCAATCAGGGGAAGGATAGTATAGTTGACAAATGGTGCTGAAAAAATAAAATAAACACTATTTTAATCTCAAGTTGCATGTAAAACTGATTTAGGAAAGACCATATAAGGTGAAACAAGCATCAGAGTTGTTCTCTTTTTTCTGGTGAGAATTATTTAATAGAAATATATTGGTAATGTTGAGCAAAGAACTAAGTACTATGTACATGCAGATATGCAGGGTGAAAAAGAATTGACAAAGAAATTGCAGGCCTATTCCCATGGCCCAAGAGATAGATGTAGAGACAAATTTTAAGGATAGGTATTTTTCCAGTGTCTGTATGTTTACTTGTGAAAACATATGTGCTGGGTTTGGTATGCTTACAAAAGCATAGATGAAATACATACTGGGAAGTAAGGAGAATCCTCAATAGCACTTTCATTAGGCCTGACATCCAAATTCCTTTTCCATGAGTGTCTATTGACATAGTACAATTCAACTTAATTTGCATTCATAAACAGGTATATGCTATTATCATGAATACTTACATTGATTTTTTTATTTTCTAGATATTATTTCATGGTGTGTCTGTATGCTTAATTAACCTGATTATCAATAGATTTATTTTGCCAATGGCAGTTGATAAACTAGGTAAGCCCACCTTAATTAATATTCTTAATAAAAAGAAAAACATTCTCAATATGCTGAAGAATTGCTAACAGTGAAGAAAGAAATCATAGAAGGGGAAATCACATAAAATCTAATTGAATGTAAAGACATGAATAGTTTGTCAGTAGCATACATATTTTTAAAAATTACTTATTTATGTTAGTAAACAAATGTTTTATGATATGTAAATAAAATAATACATTGTTTATTCAATTATCTGGCAAACTTTTACGAATAGCCCCCCCAAAGTGATGAGACTTCAGAGCTGATGGGGTTTACTTTGAAAAGAAAAGAAATAGTAAACAAATCAACTATCAGTCATGTGTACGCGACAATAAACAAATCATGTATAAATAAGACAGAAAATATAATAAGGTCTCCATTCCTAAGGAATGTAGAAACTGAGAAGCTAGAAATCTTCAAAGATGGAAGGCTTGTGAACAGTGCAAATGATGGAAGGACAGATGGAGAGGTAAAAAGGAGCTAGATCATGAAAAATCTTGGGTTTTAATTTTTTTTAAAGCTGGATTATATTTATTTATGTGTACAAGAACTAGGGTGTAGGCCAGAGGTGCGGGAGGTGAGAGGGCTCACCAGAGACAAGGTGGGGAGCTGAAGAGGCAAATCGATGAAGTACACTGCTGAGGGGAGCAGGGAGATAGGAGAGGTCTGCGGTGCCATGTGGGGTAAGCTCCCTGGCCAGGGATTGAACTCATGTTGTTGTGGCTGCTTCTAGCTTAATAGTGCTGATATGTAAGCCCTTGCCCCACCAGGAAGGCCCAGTCTTAGTATTTTATTCTAGGGCAAAAGAAACTCCTTTCTTGGTTTTAAACAAGTAAGTGTCATTTAAAAAACCATTTCTAGTTCTGTGGATAACTAAAAAGGCTATAAGGAGAGTGAAAGTAGAAATAGCAGTTTGGGAGGTAATTCTATTATTTGATGTCTCTCTTAACCCCCCTACATTTTTAACAATTGAGAAACTGAGGTTAAATCAGTTAAAAGTTCTACCCCAAGTTCAGAAAACTAGATAAAGGCAGTTATACAGAACTAGAACTGATAACACAGAACTAACTGATGCTTTAAATTCATTGCATTTCAACTCCAGCACCCTTTCTGTTAGAGCTTCACACCAATGGCATTTTTTTTAAATTGATCTGAAGCTTCATCTTTGTGTATGATATCACACTGCCAAGTTTCTTTTTCCTTTTCATGTTTGCAGTAAAATTTTTGTTTGTTTTTTCTCTGAGCCTTAACATTATAAAATGGGAAAAACAGATTAAAGAGAAAGTTTTACAAACAGCATCATAGATTCTACTTAGTGGATAAATAAACCTAAAATTCTCATGGTAGAGCATGTTTATTTGCAGAGAGAGCAGTGAACAATTTGCTCATGGAATAGTGTTGCTTTCCAAAGATACTTCCATGGCTCAAAAGAAGAAATTGTATCTGATGATGGGTCCTTCAAACTCTGATGAAGTATATATATATAAGTTCTACATATAGATTGGATATACAACTATATGTCTCTATATAAAGGGATGAATTCTTACAGTCTGTTATTCTAATAACATTGATGTTTTTATGAAAGCTAAGAAGTCCTAAGATCTGCAGTCCAAAGACCAGAGAATCAGTGATAAAAGTTCCATTCCAAATGCGGAGGTAGAAGACTGATGTTCTAGCTAGAGAATCATCAGGTGGAGAGAGTTTGCTTGCTTTCCTTATTATTTTCTTCTGTTCAGGCCTCCATTGGATTGGATGAAGTCAGAGCAAATTGGGAAGGGGGAACCTGCTTTACTTACTTTACCATTTAAGATGTTTTTTCTCAACCAGAAACAACTCCACAAACACAGCCAGAACAGTGGTTAGCCAAGTTCCTGAGCATTCTTTGACCAAGTTAAGTTGACACATAAAATGAATCATCACACCTCTGCTGCTCATCTGTGAAAAAAAACTCAGCTCAAAACCTCAATTACTGAGATGTACCTTTCCAGATCAAGTATTCAATATGTACTCACTATGGTGATGATGCCCCCCATGTTTTGTGAGGGTATGAAAATTGAAAAGTTTGGAATTGTTAGCCTTCCCATTATTAAACGATTTGTATTGAGTTTAAAAGTTAATGACTATAAGAGAAAGCTTTTAATATATATCAGAATATTCCTACTATATAAGTTGTTTTTGTCTGTATTAAAGGGCTTCATGATGATACATCCACAAAATATAAATCGCTTAATCATACATTTCAACACTTTCAAGAGCTAACTAAATCTACAGCCTCTGCGCTCAAATTTGACAAAGATCTTGCTAATGCAGATTGGAACACTGTTGAGCAAGCAATTATACTTCAAAATCCTTACGCGGTAAGTGATATTTGTTGCTTAAATTTAAAATGTTTTTTCTCAACCTTCAAAAAAGATATGATTATGTTCAAATAAGTGGTACAGATGTTATAAATAAAACAGCTGTAGTTGATAGAACAGCTGTATTTAACTCATTTACCATAAGCAAAGTAGAAGTGACACTTTTGAATATATAGAAAACATGTTTTGTAAATTTAAAAGTAAGCATAGTGTCTGGGAACACTGCCAAAAGATAACATAAAAAGAGGAGAGTGAGTCTTAGAAAATGACTCCTATTTGGCCAGATTGAGAGGCGTTTTACTTTTTTTTCAACACTAGTTGAAGGCTATTTGTTCTTGCAGCTTGTTAAATCCTAGCTTGAAGTTCATATTGTGAATAAAATATAGAATTCCAAGAGAATGTCATAAGTACAAATGTGGGTGAGATAGCACCTGCTTCTAAGCTATATCTTAGACTTTCTGAATGAGGCTTTATATTTATTAGAACATGGGGAACTTACAAAGTAGTCATGGTTGCCAAAGAAAGAATCATGAAAATTGTTCTGGGATCTTCTCCATGTCACTCCTGTATCATCTCCTATGTCATTCAGTTTTCACTGCAGTTATTTTCTGCATCACACAAGACAAAGGGCCAGCTTCTAGGAGTATGAATGCAATAGGTCTCTATGACATAAGATTTGCTGAAATGCATTTCATATCTTTTGAACATTGTTTAAGGTTCCACATGGGGACTCAGAGACAAGTCTTCTACCTGCACTAACTCAGCCAGGATTTCTGGATGGGACAAGGAATAAGGGTTTTCTTTCCAGTAGCGCCGATAGTTACAGCTTCTACCAACTCCCAAGACATGACCATGGCTTTTTGCTGATGTGGTTGCATTAGAACCATGGAAAGTTTATTAAAAAGTTGGGACTGATACACATCTGAAGTGGTGTGATCCTATATGTCTGAACAATATACAGTATTGTAAACCCATCTTTATTTTAAAAATGATTTTAAAATACTGTAAAAATAAAATATGCCTAGAAGCTGAAATATATAAATTTCCAAACCCTACCCAGGGGATTCTGATGCAGATAATTTGGGGAGGGTACCAGGAATCATTATTTCTAGTCATTTCCCCGCTGACTCTAATGCTGAGTCATTGTTGAAGCACTTAGGTACGTGACATATTTTGAAGGCAGGTGATTGGATACCACATTTTTCTCTTTATGATGCAGAAATAGGTATTACAAATAGAACATTGATCTTGTATTTAGAATATCTGGGTGTATAATAAGTAGCTTTGAGTCTTGAACAAATCTTTTAAATTTCAGTTTTTCTCGCCTGTGAAATTGGGCTACTCATGTTCCCATGAGTTCAATTTCTTTTCTATGTCAAGTGATTAGAATGTCAGATTTTAGTTGCAGCGGAATCATCAAATGGTTTTGTAAGACCACAGATTGTTACCATACACCCAGTTTGTTTTATTTTTTACATTGTTATCCATTGTCATACAAGGCATGCTTTATCATCTCGTGTATGGTTCCCAAAAGGTTTTCACCACCAATTCACCTGTGCACCATCACTGTAGCGCCCCTTGTGCTCTTCCCACCTTTGTTTTGATCCAATTTCCTCTTCTCCCTCAAAGAATGTCTCAGGTTTATAGTTGCTTGTTGATTTTGGTTTTTATTTTGTTGTAATTACTTCCCTCCCCACCCCTTCCCTATTTGGTTCCCCTACATTCCTCCTATAAGAGAAACCATCTGGTATTTTTCTTTTTCATTCCAG